CTACACGACACATTCTCTGATGGAAAGTTTGTATAGATAATCATAAGTTTTTGTTCTTTCAGAATTCAACAGGTCAACAGGCAGAGAAGGGAAACTCCCCGAACAAAATTTTCCAAAAGTAACTGAGCTGGGCAGACACAAACTTAGGACAGCATTGGCAAGGGCCACATCTTCCTCCAGCATCTCCCTCACACAAAAGCTCTTTATAATTGCATTTACTCTTTTAAGGCATGAGGACTGGCCACAGATATTTTATACTTTTGAGCCCTCTAAGTTGCAGAACATTCACTGGAAGGAATTTAGGAAGAAGGGAACACTTCCTTTGGTTGAAAAGATTTTTAATGTGCCCTAGAATAAGAAAAAATGTTAGAAGAGGGAGAGAGAGAGAGAGAGAGAGAAAGATACAGGAACTAAACAATGATTTAAAATCTCTAATCAGGAGAAATAGGGGAGGATGGAGGTGAGAAGAGACACATGAAAGGAAGTGACAGCCTACCAAAGAGTGGGTGCAAGCACTTGTTACTAGCATAAATATACAGCTAGTGTATACCTAAGTATTCTCCAACTGAAATGAGATGCACAAACTTTATTAGCAGTCATGGAATTAATGGAATTAATTCCATTTTACTTCATGATTATGAAAAGGATGCAGCCTCAAAACTTTTGGAAGCAGGATGAACTGTACACAGCAACATATCTTTCTATAATAGGTTTTTAGTTCATCATATTTCATATAGTTTTTTTATAACAATTTAAACTATGTATAATTGGCAGCAGTAGTCATATCACAGATAGGTAAGTGCGCAGCTAGATAAGGCTTAGGTTTCTTGGCATATCTAAATTCATTTAGCCACAGCAAACAGCATTTGAAATGGTTTTATTTAGATATCAGGGAGAGACAGTTTGTCCTAATGTTTAGAAATGTCTTTTCTACGTTCCCAGCAATAGTCTGTCCAGTGCCTCTCTGAATGTGAAGACAACAGGATCTCAGCCTCAGATTAATTCAAATAGCCTGGATAGGAAACATGACACACAGTTTTTCAAAGTTGTTTAAGACCATAAATGAGGGATGTCACATTTTGTGAAGTATTAAATAAAGGTGCCATAAGGATCTGTTCTGGTTTTCTTAACCATTTGGTTTTTTCCTGTAGAGTGTCTGCAAACACAAATGACTGCATGAAAATAATTCAGGTAGTTCTAGAAAGAGCAAATGTGGGTGACAAAATGTGATTCGATTTAGAGAAGTAGAATATAACCTACTTTCACTGAAAAAAAAAAAGCAGACAATAAACCTTGAAAAGAGTTATGCAAATAAAATGCATTATCCAGGGAAGAAAGTAGGTTAGTATTGAAAATGCAATGCATCATCTGCCAAGCATTTCTATATAGAATGATGTTATATCACGTATCTATGAACTGAAGTACTGAAAAACAGCTCTCTGTGTGTTTCTAGGGGCTCATACACAGCAGCTGTACCCTCATCTGTTGTAACAGCCTTCTGAGAGATGTGCAGTAATTTATTGTTTTAATAGCAACTAATTTACAGTAGTTGATGATCTAAGCCATTACATTTAATTATGTGTATCTATTGCTTTTACTGGAGATGATTAAAAAATACTCTGTAACTTTGGGCTGTACATCACAAAAACTGGGGGAATATATGGGAGACACAGCAGTCATTTTTTTCTGTATTTTTGGTATGTATAATTTAAATTAGTTTTCTCATTACCAAAAAATATTGATATACTAGAGAGGCTTTAGAAAACAGTAACAAAAGAAAAGAAGTAATACAAAATTTTTAAAGATACATTGATACATATGTTATGTGGTTGTCCAACGTGAGAAAAGGATCATAGAATCACAGAATCATTTAGATTGGAAAAAAATCTTTAAGATCATCAAGTCCAACAGTTAACTCAGCACTGCACAGTCCACCACTAAAACATGTCACTGACTGCCACATTTTAAATACCTCCTGGGATGGCGACTCCACCACTTCCCTGGGCAGCCTGTTCAGTGCTCGACAATCCTTTCAGTCAAGAAATTTTTATTAATATCCTACCTAAACCTCACCTCATTTTGAAACATGACAACATTTCTCCTTGTCCTATCACTTGTAACTTAGGTGAAAAGACTAACCCCCACCTGGCTACAACCTCCTTTCAGGTAGCTGTAAAATGTGGGCGACTCCACCACTTCCCTGGGCAGCCTGTTCAGTGCTCGACAATCCTTTCAGTCAAGAAATTTTTATTAATATCCTACCTAAACCTCACCTCATTTTGAAACATGACAACATTTCTCCTTGTCCTATCACTTGTAACTTAGGTGAAAAGACTAACCCCCACCTGGCTACAACCTCCTTTCAGGTAGCTGTAAAATGTGATAAGGTCCCCCCCAAGCCTCCTTTTCTCCAGGCCAAACCAGTTCCCTCCCCTCAGCCTCTCCTCACAGGACTTGTGCTTCAGACCCTTCCCCAGCTCCACTGCCTTTCTCTGGACATGCCACAGTGCCTCAATGTCTTTCTTGCAGTGAGGAGCCCAAAACTGAACACAGAATTCAAGGTGTGGCCTCACCAGTGCCAAGTACAGGAGGACAGTCCCTGTCCTGGTCCTGCTGGCCACACTATTGCTGATACAGGCCAAGATGCCTCCTTGGCCACCTGTGCACACTGCTAGCTAATGTTCAGCCACTGTCAACTAGCAACCTGAGGTTCTTTTCCACCAAGCAGCTTCCCAGACACTTTGCCCCCAGCTTCCAGTGCTGCATGGGGTTGTTGTGACCCAAGGGCAGGACCCAGCACATGACCTTGTTGAACCTCATACCACTGAGGTTCATACTGTTGGCTTGACCCATTGATCCTGACTGTCCAGATCCCTCTTGATGATGTTTGTTAAAATATGGTCTACAAATATTTGAATAGCTTTACTATTAAGGTGACTTATCACTTGCAGTTATATTTTAAAAGAAAGTATTCATGACAAGTAAGACAAAGTTTTGAAAGAGAAAGTTTTTAGACCATCAACTGAGAGAAACATGTAGCTTGTTCAACAGTATCTGAAACATCTTACAGATGCAAAATGTTTGACTTAAATATGACAGCAGAGTACATTAAGTATTAGATGTATTTTTAATAGACAGCTTAGAGTTATTTGGAAAACGAACTGTGTGTAGCAGATACATTTCTGCTCACTTACGCCCTGTATCACACTCAGAAAGAATGAAAGAGCACTGACTTAGATGGTCTGGTAGGTGTCTTTGCTTTTGTTTTGGGGTTTTTTTTCCTCTATTAAACTAAATGCAAGGGCAAATTTTGTCTCTTATTAATATTACCAATGTTAGGACTTCAGTGAGGCTTATTCAGCACTGTAATACCAACATCTAAGTTGTGCTACACTCAGTTGCAGATCTAACCATGGACCCTGAACAAGTTCTCTGGGGATCTGAATGCTCTGTCTCTGTGCAGCCTGTGAGCCACTCAGAGGGGACAACTCTGCTTTCCCTCTTTACTCAAATGAAAACAAACTATTGCTCCAGGTGAGCACCTGGAAAGATTCTGCTTGGGAGGGCTTCCCAAGAGCATGCCAGCACCCTCAGATGGGCTCAAGCTCCTCACAAAATGCAGATGAACTTTCTTTTAGCACAGTGGAGGAGCCTGTCTTTCACACAGATGCCTCCTCACAAGGCATGGGTCAGTGTTCACAGAGCCCATGGCACAGAGGCTGAGAAGACATAGAGCTTTATAGATTTTACAGGCCTACATCTTCACTGCAAAGCTCAGTGATGAGAGTGCATGATGGCCAATAAAAGATGAAAAAGGCTGACAGTAGAAGGCTCTTCATGCAACAGCTGGTAGACTTGTAGGTCTCCTTGGAAAAGATATTACGAATGCAGAATTTATCTGTACTCCATGGAAGACTGAACAAGTCCTAGACAAGAGATTGAGTGAGCTTTAGCAAACAAGAAAAACCGTCTTAGTCTCCAGAAGTTTCTCTGGTTGAAAGCAGAGGATAGAGTACTTGGGAAAATCCAAAGACTCTGTCAGAGACAAGATACCCAAGTATGCACCACAGACAAAACCAGACTGCTCTTTCTTGTGCTCTTCCACAAGTAGGAAATCTACTTATATGATCATGCACACATTGGTAAGTGCTGCAAGATCAGACTCTAAGAGCAAAATGAAGTTTGTAACTTTTTTTGTCACTTTTTGAACAGTAGGAACAAAAACCACCCCTATGGTCCCGCAAATTTTTCAAGTAAGGATGAGGAACTGGTGACAGGTCAGGTTTGATGTAGTGCCACTTATTCATAAAGGATGTTCAAATTCCTATTTTTCAAATTATCCCTATGCAGATCTTAAACTCTTGTTGAAATGATGACTTCTTGTGTAAACTTCGGTTCAGCTCATTTAATGTCATTAAACATGAATGATTCTATGCTGGCAAACCTCCCAATTTTCAAGAAGGAAAAGAAGGATGACCCTGGAAATTACAAGACTGTCAGTCTCAATTCACTGCCTGGTAAAATACTGGAGAAGATTCTTATGGGAGTTACTGAAAAGCATCTGAAGGACAACACAGTTATTGGTCACAGCCAGCATGGCTTCCTGAAGGGAAAGTCCTGCTTGCCTAAACTGATTTCCTTTTATGACAAGGTAACTCACCCAGTTGATCAAGGGAAGCCAGTTGATGTAATCTTTGGGGATTTCAGTAAAGCTTTTGATACTATCTCTCACAGGATCCTTCAGGACAAAATGTGTCCAGCACACAGCATGTCAAGCGACGGGTGAGCAACTGGCTTATGGGCAGGTGCAAAGGGTTATAGTGAATGGGGTGAGATCAGGCTGGAGATCTGTCACTAGTGGAGTTCCACAGGGCTCCATGTTACACCCAGTGCTCTTCAACATCTTCATAAATGACTTGGACTCAGGACTTGAAGGGATACTGACTAATTTTGATGATGATACTAA